GTGTTGTGCTGACTGGTTGCTGTGTTTTCCTATTGGCTGTAATTTGATGATGTTACCTCTTATTCCACCAATCACAGTTAAGTAAGAGATTACTGGAAGAATGCAATATGTACGACACCACTAGCCATTATTTTGGGGCGCCGCCTCCCCTAGGAGGACTTATTGTGAGCCACAGGCCTTGGTAGGGTCCCTGGGAGCAATGGCGCCCCATAAAGAGGCCTGAGGGGAGCCACCGCCTCTGGAAGGGCCCCTGAAGGCGTCAGCGCCGCTGGCATGGCCTTTGGGAGCACCACGGTCCCTACGCACATACCTGGAGGCGCCCCCGTCCCTGGAAAGGATGCAGGGATCATGGCTGTCCCTGTGAGGGCCCGTAGGGACGCCAGTGCCCCTAGCAGGGCCCATGGGGGTGCCGCCGTCACTGTGAGGTTCCCTAGGAGCGTTGCCGTCCCTGAGAGGCCAATGAAAGCTGGATCTACCATGGGCGGTCTTAGGGACAATTGCAATCCTAGGGGCCTTCTCAGGGAAGGCGGCGTCCACAGGGGCTCCTCATGGAACAGCCGAGCTCCCAAGGGCCTCTCAGGGACGGCAACTCTCCAAGGGACACTTCGCACGGACGGCAACACTGCTAGGGACCCTCACAGGGACGGCGACGCCCTCATGTGCCCTGCTAGGGGCACTGGCGACCCTAGGGGCCCTCACAGGGACAGCCATTATCTCGTGGGCCTCTCCAGGGACGGGGGCGCCTCCAGGTACGTTTCTAGGGACCGTGGTGCTCCCAGAGGCCCTGCTGGGTGAGAGTATTAGTTCCTGGAAGCCTGCACTACTTCCTGGAGGACAGTATTAGTTCCTGGAAGCCTCCACTACCTCCTGGAGGACAGTATTAGTTCCTGGAAGCCTCCTCTACCTCCTGGAGGACAGTATTAGTTCCTGGAAGCCTCCACTACCTCCTGGAGGACAGTATTAGTTCCTGGAAGCCTCCACTACCTCCTGGAGAACAGTATTAGTTCCTGGAAGCCCCCACTACCTCCTGGAGGACAGCATTAGTTTCTGGAAGCCTACACTACTTCCTGGATGACGGTGTTAGTTCCTGGAAGCCTCCAGTACCTCCTGGAGGACAGTATTAGTTTCTTGAAGCCTCCACTCTCTCCTGGAGGACAGTATTAGTTCCTGGAAGCCTCCACTACCTCCTGGATGACAGTGTTGGTTCCTGGAAGCCTCCACTACTTCCTGGAAGGCTCCACTACTTCCTGGATGATAGTGTTTGTTCCTGGAAGCCTCCACTACTTCCTGGATTACAGTGTTAGTTCCTGGAAGCCTCCACTACTTCTTGGATGACAATGTTAGTTCCTGGAACCCTCCACTACTTCCTGGATGGTAGTGTTAGTTCCTGGAAGCCTCCACTACTTCCTGGATGGTAGTGTTTGTTCCTGGAAGCCTCCACTACCGCCTGGATGACAGTGTTAGTTCCTGGAAGCCTCCACTACTTCCTGGATGGTAGTGTTAGTTCCTGGAAGCCTCCACTACTTCCTGGATGGTAGTATTTGTTCCTAGAAGCCTCCACTACTTCCTGGATTACAGTGTTAGTTCTTGGAAGCCTACAGTACCTCCTGGAGGATAGCATTAGTTCCTGGAAGCCTCCACAACCTCCTGGAGTACAGCGTTAGCTCCTGTAAGCCTCCACTACCTACTGGAGGATAGTATTAGTTCGTGGAAGCCTCCACTACCTCCTGGAGGTCAGTATTAGTTCCTGGAAGCCTCCACTACCTTACGGAGGATAGATAAGTTCCTGGAAGCCCCCACTACCTCTTGGAGGATAGTATTAGTTCCTGGAAGCCTCCACTACGTCCTGGAGGACAGTATTAGTTACTGGAAGCCTCCACTACCTCCTGGAGGCCAATATTAGATCCTAGAACCCTCCACTATCTCCTGGAGTACAGCACTAGTTCCTGGAAGCCTCCACTACCTCCTGGTGGAGAGTATTAGTTCTTGGAAGCCTCCACTACCTCCAGGAGGATTGTATTCGTTACAGGAAGCCTCCACTACCTGCTGGAGGCCAGTATTAGTTCCTGGAAGCCTCCACTACCTCCTGGATGCCACAATTAGATCGTGGAAGCCTCCACTATCTCCCGAAGGATAGTATTAGATCGTGGAAGCCTCCACTACCTCCTGAAGGTCAGTATTAGTTCCTGGAAGCCTCCACTACCTCCTGGAGATGAGTATTAGTTCCTAGAAGCCTCCACTAACTCCTGGAGGCCAGTATTAGTTCCTGGAAGCCCCCACTACCTCCTGGAGTACAGTATTTGTTCCTGGAAGCCTCCGCTACCTCCTGAAGGTCAGTATTAGTTCCTGGAAGCCTCCACTACCTCCTGGAGGCCAGTGTTAATTCCTAGAAGCATCCACTACCTCCTAGAGGACAGCATTAATTCCTAGAAGCCTCCACTACCTCCTGGAGGCCAGTAGTTCCTGGAAGCCTCCTGTACTTCCTGGAGTGCAGCATTAGTTCCTGGAAGCCTCTCCAGTACCTCCTGGAGGCCAGTATTAGTTCTCTGGAGGGCCCTACTACCCTCTGGAGGACAGTATTAGTTCTTGGAAGCCTCCACTACCTCCTGGAGCCCAGTATTAGTTCCTGGAAGCCCCCACTACCTCCTGGAGTACAGCACTAGTTCCTGGAAGCCTGCAGTACCTCCTGGTGGACAATTTTAGTTCCTGGAAGCCTCCATTACCTCCTAGGGAACAGCATTAGTTCCTGGAAGCCTCCATTACCTCCTAGGGAACAGTATTAGTTCCTGGAAGCCTCCATTACCTCCTAGGGAACAGTATTAGTTCCTGGAAGCCTCCATTACCTGTTGGAGGACAGTATTAGTTCTGGAAGCCTCCACTACATCCAGGAGTGTAGCATTAGTTCCTGGAAGCCCCCACTACCTCCTGGAGTGAAGCATTAGCTCTTGGAAGCCTCCACTACCTCCTGGAGGTCGGTATTAGTTCCTGGAAGCCTCCACTACATCCAGGAGGATTGTATTAGTTCCTGGAAGCCTCCACTACCTCCTGGAGGCCAGTGTTAATTCCTAGAAGCATCCACTACCTCCTAGAGGACAGCATTAATTCCTAGAAGCCTCCACTACCTCCTGGAGGCCAGTAGTTCCTGGAAGCCTCCTCTACTTCCTGGAGTGCAGCATTAGTTCCTGGAAGCCTCTCCAGTACCTCCTTGAGGACAGTATTAGTTCCTGGAAGTCTCCCCTACCTCCAGGAGGCCAGTGTTAGTTCCTGGAAGCCTCCACTACTTCCTGGAGGCCAGTGTTAGTTCCTGGAAGCCCCCACTACTTCTTGGAGGACAGTATTAGTTCCTGGAAGCCTCCACTACCTCCTGGCGGACAGTATTAGTTCCTGGAAGTCTCCACTACTTCCTGGATGACTGTTAGTTCCTGGAAGCATCCAGTACCTCCTGGAGGAGAAGTATTAGTTCCTGGAAGCCTCTACTCCCTCCTGGATGACAGTGTTAGTTCCTGGAAGCCTCCATTACCTCCTGGAGGACAGTATTAGTTCCTGGAAACCTCCACTACCCACAACACGCTCAACCTTGTTGGGCACTTGTTATGATAACACTCATGATCCATTATCCACTAACAATTTTGTGTTATTTTTCAGCCATGTTTCTGAAAATAAATTTTTTCATGTAGGATCACTTTAAAATTTATAAAAATAACATGAAATACAGTACAGCAAGTCCTCACTTAACGTCGATGTTACGTTCCTAAAAACGCGATGTTATACGAAACAATGTTAAGCGGAAAAATTTTCCCCATAAAAAATGGCTAAAATACGGGACTTGCGTTCCTGACCCTCCCTTTGTCCCTCATACCCAGAATTTTCTGGGTAATGGAAAAATTTTCTCTGAAGTTCCAGAAATTGTGCATTACACCATCTCTCAAAGCTGAGTACCAATACAAACTTAGTTTTGTATGCACTATTTTCTATAGAAATGGCAATGATTTTCCGTATAAGTAATGTATTTCATGGGCAAAGGGAGGCTCGGGAACGTAACTCCCGTATTTTATATATTTTTTTATGGGTAAAATTGAACCACTTAACGTTGTTTCGTATAACTTTGCATTTTTAGGAACGTAACCCCGACGTTAAGCGAGGACTTACTGTATGCAAACAAAGTATTTTAAGAAATCTTCAATGTCCCACTTACACAACCATAATATTTAAAGGGCAATTTTATGTATAAAAAATCACTTAGCTTCTCTTTCTGCCTTTTCAATATGTAAACTGTAGATGTACAGAAAACCCAAGATACAACTTTTTCAACAATTCTACTTTCTCACTAGTCAATGTGTGTCTTCCTCTTTGGAGAGCTAGGACCACTATTTACAAGAAATTATATATTGTACTGTGAATTGGGGGTAAACAGTCTCTGGGTCAGGAGCAACAGGCACACACATTGGCAACTGGACAACTACATGTTGGCTGAAAGTACCATTAATTATGAGGTTTGCCAGATAATGATTTTTCTATAACCAACATTAAATGGGAGTTGTACGTTGATAGAATGCTGGATAAGAGAGGGTCAACTTGTATCATAATCTTGCTCATTTTAATTAGAATTTTGATGAACATATGAAAAAGGTTTTTTCTTAAGTTGAGGGCCACATGATAACTCAGTGGCCTGCAGCCAGAGTTAAGAACTGCTGCCCTACCTGATAGCCACTTAAAAACAAAATTCATAAACCCAAACCATAAAGTCAGTCAGTCTGATAGACACATGCATGTTTACAGATTACAGACATGGAGTACTTTCCTGAGTTACTTAAACCCCTAGCAGGGAATGAACAACTAATAACAGATAAAACAAAGCAGTCCTTCTCTACTTAGGTGATACTGACACATCCCAAAATAACATTTAAGTTTTTCTCATAGATGAACACTCCAGCTAAGGTTACCTGAAACTTAATGATGCGCACAAAGGAACAATGTGAGTTTCTAGTAATAAAATTCTCTTGAAGCTTGGTGTTTATTGAATATAAGGACAGCTACAAACTGTTACTTAAAACATATTGCAGGAATATGGAAAAAAAGTATAAAACAAATGTTCACAGTAGCAGTTCATAATGTCCAGTATCATATCACACTTTGTTTTTTGTTTTCATACTGGGGCTTCCACTTATTTGCCGAGACAGGGTTAAGACAGTGCTCCACCCACATTCCCTTAAGGCTTAACAATGACAGATTCTTGACAAACTCGCTCTCGACTATTTTTGGGTGACACCACTGTCGCTCCCTGAGCCCAACGTTTGCACAATGAGACAACTCAACACTTTGAGGTATTAAATCTTTCATGGGGGTTCTACAGAAGAACATGTAGTCAACTAACATGGCAGAGTCAAGCTAGGTAATATGAGCTGTACTTAAAAACTGTTGATTTACTGACCTGAACAAACACAACAGGAGGACGACCTTTATGTAGTCTGTTGATGCACATTTTACTTCTGATGTTACTTATATAAGCTGCTGCCCCAGAAAATTCACATAAGCCTGATAAATACCCGACTGTGCATCCATTTACAGCTATGAACAAAATTAAGATTCTTCTTTTGGCACAAAACATAAAACTAAAAAAAAATGAACGGCACACTAAAAGGTATTCCCTCCTGAAGGTAAATCTGACGTGTAGAAGAAACCCGTCTAGATCAAACGTGTAAAAACAGAATGAAAGCAATTCCTCATGGGTAGCTCAACTCTGTGCTTTGCTGAAGATAATGGCCTAAACTTAAACAGGGCTGGTAACAATTAGAGGTACCTTGAGCAGTCTCTTTCCATGAGCTTGACAACTTTTAGTGAAGAATTTTTATAGTTTAAGACTACATCTGCCCCCTCCATGATCAGTGAGCAAAAAGTTTATATTACTCCCATACAAATTCATTAGGGAAAAAAAATAAAAAAAATCACAAAAATAAAATTAAAAATTGAGAGAAAAATTCAATTGTATTCCCATTTTGTGCTACTGCACATTCCACTATATAGTTTAAGGCTCGAGACAGTACAGTAATTGCATACCTAATTCTAATTTCATTATCTAAAAAATATGACCTATCTAGTATTTTTGAATTTGATAATTCTAAGATGATGAGATCCACCTTCTTTCCTCTTAAAAGTAGAACCAAAATGGAGCCAAATTTGTAGGTAAATGGTGTCTGTTGTAGACGGCGCTTCTAGCAACTCTTGGCAACACCAACAACCACAAAATTCAGCTGGTGACTATCCCAATTGGGCTGAGGGCTGGCCATAACCCAAATATCCAAAGGTACTGATCATCAAGTAATACATTTAAAAAGTCTTGCGGTGAAATTTGGAGGGTTTCCATTGTTAAACAACTACCATCTTCTCTTGCTCAGGACCAACTCAAAAAAGCCAACTTGATGAGACTTGACGCCATCAGATGATAGCCAGAAAGCTGCAATCGAAGCTGAATTCAGGGTGCGTAACAAAATCCAAAACTTTCTAAAAGTAGGGCTTGACTGAGTAGTTTAATATCTATAAGAGCACTGTGGATTCGAGTAAGGAAAGGCAATCTCTCTTTCCTGTCTTAACCTCCACAAACTGTCATATTCTAGACATTAACTCACCGGAGTCCATCCTGAGCAAGGCAACACACTACTTCCTTACTATTGCTCTTTGAAAGGTAGGAAATACCTGTTGATCTGAAACAAAAAAAATTACACTTAAACTGCTTTATAAGATAGGAAATGTAAAGTAAAGGCTAAACGAGTTTGAAGCCTTGCTTTGACTTAAACTAGGGTGAAGTCAATGTCTAAGATATACCTATGAGCTTTTTTCACTGCTACTCTTTCCCTGGGGTAAGTTGAAGAGGTTTCACCTTAAAAATGATCACTGATAATTCACTGTGACCCTGATCAGACATAATGCCACAAGGATGCCAAACACTTGACTCAGTCTAGCATCTGGTCCCAGTTTCTTGCATCACCAAAAAAACTCTTTTCTGCACACTTCTTTGTAAGTTGTGAATATTTCTTTACATATATATATACACAAATATACATAAAGAACACTTTTTGATTAATGTTTATAAACCAATTTGCATTTTCTTAAAGTGCTGTGGTCATCTTGGTGACCTCTCCCACTGTTTGCCAACAGTTGCAAGACATTTGGATATCATCAGTTCCTTACAAGTGTGTCACAGGTCGGCATTTGTTGCTGTCCACACTTAAAAGACCATTTATGGTCTCTCGGGGATCACCACCACACCACTATTTCATCCTTAATACCTGAAGCAGAAAAATGATATTCATTATTAATTTCCTGAACACTTGAAGCAAAAATTATATTCATTACCAATCATCCTAATACTGAAAGAAGAGAAATAATATTTATTACTAATCATAATGAACACATGAAGCAGGAATAATATTCATTGCTTGAAGCAGATAGACTGCATTCATTTCCAATCATCCTGAATACTTGAGACAGACACACCAAAATATAAATATTGTTTCTAAAAATGGTAAACTGCCAACCCATGTGGTCTGGTACAACATGAATGACAATTTGAAACATAATTATTCAGAGTTGGTACATTGTTTACCACAGGCTGTTGTAGCCCACTCCACTGCTTAGTCACTGTGCTCTTAGTTTTCAGTGTTGTGTTTTTATAAATTATGCCCCTTTGATGGCATCCAAATAGTGTCTGAGTGATAGTGTTGTGAAGTGGAAAACTATTACAATAGAGGCACCAATGGAATGCCTAACTCCCAGACCGACACCTACAACAACTCGGCTCACCTAATGTATAAAGTCGGTTGCAAAGCAGCAAAAGAACTTTACCTTTTTCCAAGAGCCATTTGTCAACTGAGAGATGGATGGATTCACACCATCATATTCCCTAAACTTTTTCATTATAAGCAATACCATTAAGTAACCAGTAATCATGATGCTGTACAGTACACGGTCATGTCATACTGACAGTACTGTGCCCTCTTTCTATTTATCACAACAGATTTTCTATAAACTAAGTGGAAAAACAAAGTTTGACATAAAAAGTAATTCTGTCAAATAGAAATTTCTTACACATTAACCCCTCCCAACCAATTTAGGAATCAAGTTGGGTCACTCGTTCTAAGCAACTGTGCAACGAGAGGCAAATGTGAAATAAGCAAATAGCCATAATTCATCCTGTTGATCAAGCTCGGTTAAGCTTAAGTTAAGTTGGGTTAGGCTAAGCAAGGGCTGGGAGGACTGTTTGGCTATGGTTAGGGGGAGGTGGGTTAGATTGGGGTGAGACTAAAGCAAGGGTCAGGTTAGGTAAAAATGGGTCAGGTTAGGGAAAGATTAGCCTAAAATTGGATTAAAATAGGGTTAAATCATATTTGGTTGGGCTGTGTTAGGTTAGATTGGGTTTGGCTTGGTTGTTAAATTAAGTTAGGTTGGCTTATATGTTAGGTTAGGTTAGGTTGGGCTAGGTTGTGTTTGGTCAGATTGAGCTGATTTGTGTTTGGTCAGGTTGAACTGGGCTGTGTTTAGGTTAGGTTAGGTTAGGTTGAGCTGGGTTGTGTTAGGTTAAGTTGAGCTGGGTTGTGTTAGGCTAAGTTGAGCTGGGTTGTGTTATGTTAGATTAGGTTGGGTTTGACTGTGTTACATTAGGTTAGGTTGGACTGTGTTATGTTATGTTACATTAGGTTGGGTTGGGTTGGGTTGTGTTGGACCGTGTTACATTAGGTTGGTTAACTGTGTTATGTTAGGTTGGGTTGGTCTTGGTTGTTATATAAGTTAGATAAGGTTGTGTTCATCAGGTTAGGCTGGCTGGATAGGTTCTTCAACACACTTACTGACATATAACTGCCTGGTTCACTTAACTTTCCTTCTCACCAGGAAGACCAAGGCAATACTCCCATCTGTATAAACTTACCTGAAGTGTTTAGTTGCCAAGGGCATGAGGATTTCTCTGAAAGAACAGAGTTGGTTTGTGAAAGCCTCTACTCAACTTGATAATCGAGGTTATTATTATTTCTTTACTGTACAAATATTTACAAATTCAAGTCTACCCACCAGGGATATGCTAATAGTCTAGAGTTCCTATTCCTCTTGACTTCTCCGAACACAACGTGCTACTTTCTTCTTAAAGATATTGTAATCTTCACGCCAGTCTTTCTGTAATTAAAACAAAAGGGAGTAATTAAACATTTGATACACTAAAGGCAACAAATCAAGTCATTCAAGTACAGACAAGTAAAATTATTCCATAAGTATGAAAATTCTTGTACAGAATGTGACTCACAAATGATTACTGTAAACATATATATGTGTGTGTGTCTGTGTATGTAATGTTTCTACTTCTTGTAGCATCTTCCTGTTGCTTCATACAATGTTCTTGCACCACACTCCATTAGTTTGAAGTATATTTCACCTGATTCACCTCAAACAAAATAATGAGAGCCCAAGAAAAGTGACAGATAGATACTGTACTTATATACTGTATATACAGTATATATAGTAATACTAGCGTCTTAGATCCTGGAGTTCCATTTCAAAACGATCAAAATTACTTAGTTTATGATTACAGTGACCCCTCGTTTAACGAATGCCTCGGTTAACGAAATTTCAGTTAAGGAACTGCCTTCCATAAGGATCTTCAATTCGGTTAACGAACAAAAATTCGGTTAACGAATTTCTTACAAACCGACCTCAACATGTTTTCGCTTGCAGTGACCGGGCAACCAGCTTTAGTATCAGTCCGCCAATACATTAATCGGTTCTAGGGCTTAAATTCCTTACTATTTTAGTAAATATCAAACAGTTTATACTATTCAATAATTTTAAAAGTTTAATATTAACTTTTTTAGTCATTTTAACAATTATTGAACATAATTGAAGGTAAAGAAACTAGTTTCTGGCGTGCCATCCAGCCTGTTAACACACCAGACAGGCGTTAGTCTCTCTCTGTTTTCAGTGGAGGTAACATCTTGCTTGAGACTCTCTTCAACTAAATGCTTTTTTTCTGTGTTTCCAAGCAAATTATTGGTCATTTTGAAATATATTTTACATATTGACAATATATAATGCAGTGCAGTGTTGATTTAAAGAAAATAATCTTGAAATACACCAAGAAAACTAAAATTTTATGGATGAAATGGTGCCATGGGGTGACTTCTCTTCCACCCCAATGCCTTTTCTTCTTCCTTCTCCTCCACCCCCATTCTAATTCCCATCATCATCATCATCCAGGAGCCTTCTACATACACACCTCAAAGTAAGTGAACTTTTCTACCATTTTTGTTGAATTTAGGAAATTTTCGGTGAGCTGGAACCAATTACCCAAAAACGCATTGAAACAATGGTTTCGGTTAACAAACTTTTCGGTTAACGAACGACCTTCTGGAACGGATTGAGTTCGTTAACCGAGGGGTCACTGTACCAAATTTGTAAGGAATACACATTCTATGTTTAAGTTAAATATTCAGTAGATTTTGTGGTCCACATTCAAATGGAATTAATGTATGCTTAAATTATAATTTAAGATTTAAAATATTTTAATACAAAAATAAATAAAATGTAACGTACAGTACTGGTATTTATGTCAGACCAATAAATATATTTAAATTCTGACAGACTAATAAACATATTTATAAGGTTTCATTGATCGGTACAGTACAATACAATGAAATTAAGGGTTACTGAATAATTTACACCCTTTCATTCTATAGACTAAATAAGTGATGTCACCATGAGACTTGGGAATGGTAGTGTGAGCACCATGGTGAAATGATCCTTCTACTTCACAGACAGTACTGTACGGTACTGTACCTCATTTTGGCTAATATGAATATCTACATGGTTAAAGAGTTAGAATTACCCTAGTTCTTACTGAAAACCCAATACAATATAAGAGTTGAATTAAAACACTACCTGTAATGGAGTGATAGGTAAGTGAAACTGATAGGGTACAGTACTTAAGATAAATTATTTTTTCTTATGAAAGATGGGGAGATGTATATCAATGTCAGGAACAGTAAAATACACTGCTCCCTATACACAACAAGTCTTACTTTACATATTACAAAACATATATTCACAATATGACTGACATAATAAATTATCTTCATTATAAGCATGAACCATTATCTGAGTCAGTTAGCACCTGTACTATAGCTAACCTGATAGTCCCAAAGAACTTTTTGACCAGTCTGCATTAAGGTAACTAAGGAACCAATTCTTTATCATCTTGTATAATGGTGACAACATCTGGACATTTTTGGTATTAAGACTCAGTTTCATCAAAGTATTTATGATGAAAGCAGTAGCAACAGAAAATAAAAAGAGAGGACACAAATTAATGGACTTAGAAGAGATGAGATGGAAGTAGATGTATGACCAACAAAAAAAAAAAAATTTCTTACCGCTGCATCGACATTTGCTGGACTTTCATCATTAGGATCTGCTAGCATACTAATGACTGAGATGAGGATGGTCTCAACTGTATGCACGGGAAGCCAGCGCTCCGAGGCCTTTTCATATCCCCACTTATCATCCCCAGGTTCATGAAGAATTGAGATACATACATCCCCATTCTTCTCAACTGCAAAAGTGAAATACTATGTTCATACCATTGGCTTTTAAATAAAGTACGTTAAAATTACATTCCTAGCACACACAAAAGTATAGGGACAATTGCTATACAATACTGTATCTTAAATTCATTTTTACAACTAGCTTTCAGAAGTTAACAATCAGACCCCTGGAACAGACAAAATATTTAGAATACAAAAAAGTTGTGATTGGTTCACAAAGACTTTTCTTCCACAGAAACAAGATCCCTATACAGCATTAACCTTGAAGTACAGTAGTGCATGCAAGCAGCTGTCACACCACACACCATGTGGTTTACAGGACACATTATCTGGTTTAGTTTTAACTCATTTTAGATATTGCTGCTATAACAAATCAAGCTACAGCTCTAAAATATGCCCTAATACAGTACAGTCAACCCTCGCTTTACGCGTTTCCACGTTTACGCGGTACCCTGCCGAAACCAGAATGCTCACTTTCCGCGGTGCGTGTACCCCTTTAGGCGGAGAGCGGCTGGGGCGGTCCTCTCGCGCCGCGCCATTTTTGGATCCAAATCTCCCACCATCCGCCATGTTGTGTAAGCGGCGCGAGTAGGTTGCGCAGTGTATGTCTTTGTTGTGTTATCGGTGACGTCATATGACGTAGCGGACTGTGATTGGGCAAAGCATCCTTACCTCCCTCCCTGCTAGCTGTGATTGGTTTAATGTAGTACTATGACGTGCCCCGCCGCGGGAGCGTTCAAGCCCCTCGACCTACAGCGTCAGTTACACCCCTCCAGGCTACACCATGTATATCGGTATCCATTGTTCCATAAGAATGGCTTCCACCGGACCACCACCACCACCACAAAGAAACCTTGCATTACCTGGACCCAGCCGCCCTAAGCCAAATAAGACACGACGCTCCTTAAGCTACGAAATTAAATATAAGATCATACAAGAGTTGGAGAAAGGAACAAGACAGGTTGATCTTGCACGCCAGCATGGTGTTAACGAGTCTACGATCAGGACAATTAAGAAGGTTGCAGCCAAGATAAAGGAGCACATGAACATCACAAAGTCTACAGGTGCTTCTATGATCAAGTATTGCCACAACCAGGTGCTTCTCAAGACAGAAAAATTACTTGTGAGCTACTTGGTGCGTCAGGCGCGACGGAACATGGCGGTGGACACGCGCTCAGTTAAGGAGTACGCACGTGAACTGTATGCTGCAGTGTCACGAAAGATGGGAATTACAGAGCCCAAACCCTTTAATGCTTCCTCTGGGTGGTTACAGAGGTTTAAGAAGAGAAACAAGATCACCAATATCAACATTGGTGGTGAAGAAGCTAGTGCTGACCGTGTTGCGGCTAGGGAATTTCCTCCGTTTTTACGTGAGATTATGGAGGAAGGACAGTACACCGACGACCAGGTGTTTAACATGGACGAATCTGGTCTTTTTTGGAAAAAGCTACCTTCCAAGACCTTCGTTGTGAAGAATGCCAGCAAGTGTCGGGGCCGGAAGTTGCAGAAGGAGCGCATCACCGTCCTGTTTACCACCAATGCCTCCGGTACCTGTAAGCTCAAGTTATCGGTGATCCACACAGCACGCAAGCCGCACGCCTACAAGAGCATGGACATGACCAAGCTAAATGTCCACTGGCTGACCGCACGTAAGGCGTGGATGTTCTCTACACTGTCCCTCTCCTGGTTTGATGACTGTTTCGTTCCCGATGTGAAGAAATTCTGTGAGCAACATAATGTGCCATTCAAGATTTTGTTGCTGCTGGACAACGCACCAGGACACTCGCCCCTACTGTTAGATCGTCACCCCAACGTAAAAGTGGTCTTCCTTCCTCCCAACACTACGTCTATATTACAGCCCATGGACCAAGAATTGATCTGTAATGTAAAAGCTGCATTCTCTGCTAAAAAATTCAACCTCCTGAACGACTACACCAACACCAAGGAAGAGTTGCGTAACCTGAGTGACACCAACACCGATAGCAAGAGCGAAGACGACGAGAATCAACAGTTGGCAGAGCAAGAAGTACTTTTAAAACAATTCTGGAGAACATTCAACGTCAAGAAAGCTGTGGACTTCTTGGTGGAGGCATGGGATCAGCTGTCTGTAGCAACTGTTCGTCACGCATGGAGACATGTGTTGCAAGGCATTCCAGGTGTTAGGCAGAGTAAATCTGTGACTGGTGAGGTTCAGACTGTTGCAGTAGCAGTGGACCTTGCCAGAGAAGCTGCGCAGAGTGTTACAGTTGCAGGCTTCTCCGAGACCACCAACGACGACATCCTGGAGGTGATAAGGGATCCTGATGTGACTACCGACGAGATGGTAGATGATGATGATGTCAGTGAAGAGGCAGGTGGTGCGTCATCCCAAGAAGAACGCCGCTTATCCCATAGTAATGTTAGGGGTGCCATCGAGTGTATTGAGAAAGTCAAGCTCCTCCTTTCCGACAACCCTGACTCAGACAGGTATGAAATCTTCACTACCCAGCTGTTGCAGACTATGGAGCCCTACATCAAAGTTTATCACGACAACATAAACACCAGCCGTCAGCAAAGCATAACAGAGTTCTTCGCCCGCAACCCACCACAGCCAGCCCAAGCCAGTGATAGTGACAGAGGCAGAGACAGTGATGATGACTTTGAGGGATTTGTCAGGGAGGCACTAGTAAGTGTGGATGACACCGATGGAGACTCACCTGAGGGCCAGTAGCCTGCCCTCTGCTTCGGAACCAGCCTCCATTCCCCTACGCCGCCCCATCTCTTCTACTAACGTAAGTGTTAACCCCAACCTTGTTTTTTTCTAACCTAACCTTCAGTTTATTCTTCTCTTATTGACTGTTCCCTTCTATATTATGTGTGGGTGAATACCATCATAAAGTTAAGATGTTATTTTTAGTAAAACGTACGTATTGTGTCGGGAAAAAGTGGAGTTTGGGGGTCAGCCCGGTCTCTATTTCAATTAATCCCATATGTTATGTTGTTCACTTTCCGCGTTTCTCACTTTACGCGGGCCGCCGTGGGTTGAATTAACCGTGTAAAGTGAGGGTTCACTGTACAGTAATACTATTCCCAAAGTTCAAAAAATGACAAATTCAGGTCAAATCTAATAGACAGTGGCCTTGTGGAGTAAAAGAAACATATGGTCAATGAGCCATAGATGGATGGTACGTATGAGATGGTAGTTGTGGGAACACTGCACAAGACCACATGTCAATCATAACTATATTTTGTGACAGACATACACCCAGAACATGAACTTACTGTTTGGATGCCAAATATCTGTGATGAACTTCATTTTAGGTGGTCGGAGGGGATATTCTCGGGGAAATATTAGATGTGCTTTAAAAAAACCGCCTTCACTACAGGGTAAAGAAAAAGGAACTGTTATTAGTGAAGAAAATCTATTGCAATGAAAGAGAAAGCTAATAACAATAATGAAAGAATACATTTTACATATTGAACTGAAAAGTCTCTTCTTTCAATATTAAATTTTCTTCCTCTGATTATGAAATATATCTGAAACATCAGTAACTGATAATGATAATTGACACTGTCAATGACTAAAACAATGCAAGTGTCAGGCATTTACATGACAGAGACCAACAGCTACACCAATAAGGGTAACTAACCTACAGCACAGTGTATACACCACCCACCCATGTACACTTTTAACAAAACACTACCATTCTCTTAAAATATAGTCATATATTTTAATTATATATATATAAAAAAATAATAAAACAGATTAAAATATTATAATTATCTGAGAAGTGTATGATACAGGTACTTGAATATATTTTAAACTTTAATTTTTGAATGTGTATACAGTATCAGTACATACTGTTAATATTTAAAATTGTTCAAGACTATTGAGATTAAAATAATATTTTTTTAAACATGTAAATTATAAAATTCTTTAGAATAAACTGGTTAATTTTTCATAAAAGCATATTTTTTAAATTCTCTCGGTGCAGAATGCAAAATGAGACTACTATTTGTGGAATACAATATAAAGATAATTAAAAAAAAATCCTGAGAATATGGGCTATCTCAAAATTCTTTAGGGATATACAGGTAAAAAAAAAAGAAAAATAGCTTTACATTACAGAATACTAATGAAATTTTAAAATACTTTAGTGTAGAATTTAAATAAAATTACCTTAGGGTACAGTAAACAAGGCATATTACACAGGCTAAAAATTTAAAACAATTAGTATCCAGGTTACATTTTAAAATTAATTTGGGGTTATGCAATTAACCAATCACTTTTAAGTACTATACGGTTAAAAATAATGTTTTTAGCATACAGGTTAATTTAATTTAAAAAAAAAAGTATACAAATCACAATGAAATAAATAAGAGAAAGCATATATCACAGGTTAACGCGGCAGGAGTATTCACCGACTGCTGTGGCTAGTGTCCTCCCTACGACATCCTGTGCTCTAAAGGTTCAGTGTGTGGTGAGGGTGTCAGTTTTAGTGTGGTGAAGAAGGGTTTCAGTTTGTGGCAAGGACGTGTTTCAATTCCAGTGTGTGGTAATGAGGGATTTCAGTTTCAATTTGAAGTAATGAAGGTTTTAAAAGTGGAAGCTATACATATACTGTAGCCGGAACACTTGAGGAGACTCTGGCCACACCATAAGAAACAAGTTAACAATTGCTAGTTTGACTATCATGTAAGTGAAGCAGTTGACACTTGCTTGTACTGTACACAAGAATGTGGTCTTACGTCCATATAAAAAGTAACAGTCCAATTGAGCGGTGATTAACTGTGATTTTTGGACAAAGAAATGAACCATCAATTAAAGACTGTCTATATACTTCCCCTCAGCTAATAACCCAGAAAATAGCCTCTATGTAAATATTTTTTTTCTGTCGAGATTAACCAAATACAATACTGTACTGTAGTAGAAAAACTTCCGCTGTGTATGTTCATTTTATTGTATGGGCAATGACAGATATCCACCAATAGTGTACAAATTTATATTCAATTTACACTTTAAGAATCATTAACATCTACAACTGAACTGGAATCTTGAATTAAAAATTTAATTTTAACCCTTAAATAGGAACCTACATCAATACACCCATCCTAAACAGCACAGCAACCAAGTCACCGATGGTTTACCGTCATGCATTCTGGGGCACATCTGAGGTTAGGTCTGCCATCTTTATTTTATTCCACTTAAATTACAAGGAATGAGCGACATTATTAGTTATCTAACGTGAAAATAACAAAAGTAGGCTGATGTATGTTTTAACAACAAGCCTTCTCTAGATGTCTATCAGCTACCAGTTCATGATAAGGAAAATAAATAAAAAATATTGACTAGAAATGTACTTTCCTCTACTGTACTCCCATGTTACCATATTGTTGCCACTGCATCAAAGAAAAGGTAAATAATTTACTGAAGTGTGACCCCATTAAATGTTGCTAGAATAACAAAAGGCAGAGAAAAAGTGATGGGTAACATATGGCTTGACTTCAGATTTTGGATCCAAGATCAGTCAATGGAACACAGCAGTATGACTCACTTAAACATAGTGCTATGATGTTTTCTGTGGTTAAATTGTATGCTTTATATTCTACAGTAAGTGGTTTATATATAAAAAGGAAAAAATAAAAACAAACACAGGCTCCATCTGGGTGATTCTAGTCACATGGAATGAAATGCCTTTGAAGAGCAACATAATAAATATATGTACATTATGTATACAGTATATACTGTACAGTATAGTGGAACTGTATTTTCCTATTTACAAACACTTATAGAAGAAAAAATACAATAAAAATTATAAAAAAATATCATATATCAGCCTCTACATGGTATAAATTAAAATTGTCAAGCAGATAAATGATATAATGAAACTATACAAGTATCTCATGCTATACGAACGTTCAAGGTATCAATATTCATTTATATGAATTTCCTAAAATGACAACTATTTCGAGATATGAAACCTTCCCCCACTTATATGAATTTTGACCTCGGCTAAAATTCAAATTGTGTGCCCTGGAAGTCAGCTGGAGCATCCATCTTGGGGAGAGATGCACAGAGACGTATTCTTGCTCACTGACCATACCCCCTGCCCTCCTGCATCTCCCAAAAACCTGCGTCTTTCCTTCCGCTATTTGTGTATATGAAGTGATTTTTCATTTTCCGTGTGCATTCGTGCCATCCTTTCGTTTTGGCATCCAAGCATTCTGCTGAATCTTTGGATACCTGTACTACACTAAAAAAATATGAAAGGCTGTGACTCGAGAAAAACCTGGAGGTAATAGTGTCATGAACATGGTGACGGACCTACGAAGATTAGGAAAGATCTTAGTCTGGCCGCTTCTACTGTCGCCACAATATATAAACATGCTCACGAGATCAAGCAAGCGGCTAAAAATTTTATGTGTAGGAACAAGCAGGCTAACCTGTAGTTCATGACACTGATGGACAGAGGTGATGAGGTAGACAACTCTCCTCATCTTGCAGAGTAAGGCCCTAACTCAACCCTCCCCCTTGTGATGGTGGGCCTAGACTGCCCTCCCATAAGGTAGTGTACCAAAGTTACACAGTATTTTATTAGTGTTTTTAATGCGTTAGGTAGAAAATTACAGTGGTTATGTACTATTTATCATTAGTTGGGTAGGTTTTTTATTGTCTGAACCAGTTTCGTGTTTTTGAGGTATGATGTTTATTTTTCTTTGGAAACTGAACCCTATTTTCCCCATATGTTCTTTTATTTGCTATACAAAAATCCATTTAACAAAAGGATTTTCAGGAAACTAACCTATTCATATGTCGAAGGATGCCTGTACTATATACCGTAGTAATTTATAGTTACAGATTACAGTAAGAAAGTTCACTGGTAGCTATCATAAATGTCATGGATACATTGATAATTTTGATTGGTGGGCAAGGGTAACTTACCTTCTTTATCAAACTAGCTTTTAACTTAAATCTCCTTGCATATAAGACATCATCCTCGGTCACCAATCACAAAACATTAAGATGGCCCCTCCCCAAAAATCCCTTTCAAACAAAATTACACATACCCCAGCAAAAATGACCCCAGGTTTGGTCCAGAATGCACTGCAGTAACCAATTATGTCCTAGTTATGCTTAAGCCCCATTGATATTAGTTGTAGGGATGGTGGGCAATGTCAAAGGGCGTTTTTTGTTTTCCTGATTTAGAATCAGCGGAGGTGGAATCGGGAATCTTTACCAATCATTTAAGGGATAAGACTAGAGTATATATACCAGATACACAAAGAACATAGGCTCACATTAACTAAATGTATATCTCATGGGCTACAAGAGTTTATTTGGTGATAATTAATGAATCATTTCCCTGAACTGGTGGGGTAAAACAATGTAGGCCCATTAGGAGTTTGAGACTGGTGAGCCCCAAGTGTTTTGGTAACTTGTGCGTGTAAGTATTATCTGGCTAAATAACACAATCTTTCAGGATAAGTGATGAATGTTTTGTATAAAGGCTGAAGTGGATATATAAGAAGAGGCCAAAGATAAACTACAGGAACTGAATGGAGAAAGGAATACAGGCATATTTAGATGAGAACTTTTTTCTATTCTCAGATAAATGAAGATGCTGCACTATGAAAACTCTGAATACACCCAGATCTCGCTCTGAATCAATCAACCAATGAGCTAGTGTTTTGTTCAAAATTAAAACTCTCATCTTTAGTCATATGCAGTACAGTACTGACTAATAATACATTAATTTGACTTTGCCAAACAGAAGTATCTTGTTGGAAAGTCAGCATTTAGTCTTAATGGTGTAGGTGGCATATACAGTATAATTCCTGATATATTTATTACTGAGTAACTGTTAGCTTCTTTGTTCCCAGCACAATATGTAAGCAAGAGGATAGGTCTAGGTATGAATGCTACCTCACACCTAATGCCATGAAAGTCTGCAGGATGAAAAATATTTCACAGCCACTGTAGCTGACATTAAACAAAGTAATCATGTGTATCATTAGATATAGAATATAAATATATTTTAATAATTTTTCCCTAGATGTACAGCATCAAGAAGAACCTGTAATTAAAAGCACCAAGTTTTAACCAGTGATTATAAGTAGACCATCCGAGGCACAAAATGCACCAAGTTGGAAAAGTACCACAAACAGGAATGCTAAACCACATATACTGTATGGTAGTTGGACAGCAAAAACCAACCAAACTTAATTTAAAGATCCTTCACAGTTTTGGTTAAGTTAGTTTGTGTCATATGGTTTTGCTGCTCTTATTGTGGAACCTTCCATATATTGCACAGTTTACCAGAGAAGCAAGCTTTTCATTGTAATAATTTAAGAACACATGACTTGTAAGAACACACTGGTATGTGGTACTAAACTAGTTTGGACAGGGTAAAACAAATAAACATAGGTTACAACTGAAGCTTCAGCGTATTTAAATGTTTAAAAAATTGCAATTTGTTTTATTGGTAACCTCCAGGCCAAAGACACTGGGAATGGAAGAATTCAAGTAATACTGCACTACAAATATTTCTGCTTCCTTTCCCATCATCACATACCTGAAATAGTCATCCTACAACTATGGTCAAGTGTAGTAAATGAGGGGGAAGAAATCATATGTAGGTTATGCATGCTGTATTATGTCCAAGTCATGCATACACCAGAGTACCCCTGCATTAATTCCAGTTTTGTGCAGTAATGTGTTTGTGTGTGTGTCTGTGTGTGACGAACAGTGCTCATCATGTATAAGACATTCATCATTCACCAGGTCGTCGGGGGGTTGTCAAGTGACACTGCCTACCTACCAAGTGCTTCTGCAGATGAAGCAATGTGAGGAGTCTTACGACTCTGAAATTGAAACAAACAACAGTGAGAATAATAATGAACATCATGGCATCTATTATGACAGCAGTTGTGCCTCATACACTTGCTCTGGGCTGTTCACAAGACTGCCATGCATAATTACAGTTATGCCACACTCACTTATTTGGGAGTTTCCATCATTACACAACTTACATGCACGGGAATGGCATTCTGATGATGTATCCTATGACAAAACTATACATAAATGAAACCAAATAATGTGCATTATCATCTCTCCAAAAACAGACCAACATTTCTAGTGATGGTTCAGTTCCCTCGGTGGTTGGGAGGCAGTAAGGGGGAATGATGAGAGACGAAACTAAATGGTAGAGAAAATCTTGGTTTGTTTCTCTGTATCCTCCATGTATGATACCAGTGAACAGTGGTCATGGCTACCAAACAGGAACCATTACAGTATATTCAAACATCATGCCTAAACTATACTTTGCAAATACTTATAAAGAGGCATAAAATATCACATGCAAGTCTTTGGACAAGTACCTAAGCCTACTCTTGTTCATCAACATTTAATCACTTCTAGTAGATATTCCTCAGCACAGGTGGACTTAAAACATTCAAAACTGCCACTTGTTAATATCACCCACTAATCTACCTTGTCTCTGTGTGCCCAGATCTCACTCTCTTAACTGATAACGGAGCCCCTGTACAGAAACATCTTCCAAAATCATTTTTTTTAGCACTTCAGTTACCAGTGAAGATACAGTACAAACCTACCCTCACACTCAACACTAGTTACACATTCAAAACAAGAGGGGGAGGGAGAGAGAGAACAGGATCAAAGAAAACCAAATACTAATAAAATGCAGTTAGATCAATTAAGGTAAGTACATATATAAAAATAAATGTTGTCAGTATGTGAGTGACAAATTTCTCTCCATAAGTGAAAGAGTCAGTGAGCAAAGGCTACAGATAAGTGAATGAGCAAAAAAAGACATTCAAGGAAATGAAAAATAAAATGAAGAAAAACAATTTAAAGAAGAAGAAACTAAAAAGAAAAGATCATATCACTATCAGTCACATCCTCCTCCTATGACTTAATGTCTTTAAAGCCTTCTCACTTATTATAATGTGATTGATAAGCTCTCTCTCCCTCGGCACTAGTGAACTCTTTCAACCTCCTAACTTCTCAAAGTATTCATCCAAATATATTCCTTAAAAGAACGCGTAATGCCTCCAGGACTTAAGAGAAAAATTATACAACAATTTATGAGGGTGCAGACAAAAAAACCAAAGAAAAACATCCTTACTAAAGTGTATCAGGAGGGCCTATAATGAGAACTTCCCATTTGAAGATGTCGTTGTCGTCGATAAGCCCCGCCGAAAAGCCCTCAACTGGATTCTTGTTCAATTCTGTGGAAAAAATATAATTAATGACATGCCAATCTGAAAAATGGGGAAATTTATTCTAAAATCTCATTCTCTTGTGAAGCTCATAACCATGTGGCTTATTAATCTGGAAGTCTGGAGTGGGAAGGAGCAGCTCCCCACTTGGCAGCTGGTGGCTCATTATACCATCACCCATCCCTCCCAGCCTCATCCATTTAGGTACAGCAGATATAAATTAGTACTGGTATAGTATTTTCTGATTCATGAAACGATTTGGTTCCTGAAAAACCTCATTGTATGTTATAAAACCAGATTTATTCCAGTGCTACTACTGTGAGTGTGGAACACCAATGTATACATGTGCGCTCAAGGAAACAGTCATTTAGCTTAAGAATATGTACAGAAGATTCATTATTGTTTATTACTGAATATGTATTCGATTGAATTAATGTTTATACAGTGATCCCTCGGTTAACGAATTACCTTCCATAAGATTCTTAACTTCGGTTAACGAGCAATCCCTCGATTAACGAGTTTTTAACGAGCGCCCCTCCACATGTTTTCGCTTGCATTTGGCGGTCCACCAACTGTAGTATTAGTCCGCCAATACCGTAATCGGTTCTAGGGCTTAAATTCCTTACTATTTTAGTAAATATCAAGAAGTTTGTACTATTCAATAATTTTAAAAGTTTTATATTACATTTTTTAGTCATTTTAACAATTATTGAACATAATTGAAGTATAGGAAGCTAGTTTTTTGCTCGCCAAACAGCTTGTCAACACACCATACAAGCGTCAGTCTCTGTCTTTTCAGTGGAGGTAACATCTTGCTTGAGACTCTCTTCAACTAAATGCTTTTTTTGTGCGTTTCCAAGCAAATTATTGGTCAATTTTAAATTTATTTTACATATTGACAATATATAATGCAGTGCAGTGTTGATTTAAAGAAAATAATCTTGAATTACATACACCTAGAAAACAAAAATTTTATGGGTGAAATGGCGCCATGGGGTGACTTCTCTTCCACACCAATGCCTTCTCTTCTCCCTTCTCCTCCACCCCCATTCTAATTCCCATCATCATCATCATCCAGGAGCCTTCTATATCCACACCTCAAAGTAAGTTTCGGTTAACTAGCAACCTTCTGGAACAAATTGTGCTCGTTAACCGAGGGACCACTGTATATGTGAAATGAACAATGCAATTCATTAATAATTCGTAGAATATTAAAACACACACGAGGAGACAAGACGGCATTGTTTTCGTGAGTGACGATGGTTCTACATAAGAAACTGAAGAAAATAAGACCCTGGTTGTAGCTGTAGTGAACTTAATTTTAAAAAATTTAATACCTGTATGTATGTTTTAAGTAATGTTATTTAATGTTAATAAATGGAACACTAGAAGTAGCTAACCAATAATGGTAAAGAAATAATGCGAGACAATTGGGAACGCCAACATATGAACAGTAAGTGCGTACATGTGAAAACATATAGTCATTTCTCTACATACGAAAATGAAAGCAGCACTTATTTACTGTTCATATACGTTTTAAATTATATTGACGAATGTAAAACAAAAATTTTACTCACCAATGGCGGTAAAGTCTAAAACATAAGGACAGCCAATGAATACAGTATTGTGCAAGTTTTTACTCAGATGACGAAGTCATCAGGTTCAACTCTGGCTGAAGCTGTAGCTTTCCATAAAGCTACTGCTGAAACTGTTACTGAACCTGAAGTTGATGTTGAAGCTGCTTATGATGCTGAATTTGATGGTGTAGCTGAAGTTGATGGTTTAGGCCTTCGAATAATAAAGCTGTCAAAAGAACCTTGCACAGCTGCTTTCTTTTCTTATAATACATCTCTATGTAGAGGTCATTTGCATTTATTTAAATTTTAATGCTTTGTTCTGTCAATGGATCCACTTCAGAAAATATGTTCATTGCTTGCTCCATATAATATCCACAGACCTCTCACCTTTTTCATGTCGTTTTAACACATCTAGTTTCTCGTCTAAGCTTATACACTTTCTTTTAGCTTTTGAACCAACACTACCATCACTTGCTCTCTTGCTCATGTTGAATAGGGATGCAAAAATGCTGTAAGAAACCTGAGAAAGTTTTTCTCCTGTTCCTGTTCCAGATGTATGAAAACAAAAGGCCCGCCAAGCTCCGAACTAGGCACTCTTCATTTTTATTTTTTTATATAATACATATCAGGATTTAGTTATTTTTATGAAAATGTAATTTTATTTCATTTTTATTATATTTTGGTCGTAAATACGAATGAAATAAAGAGGTAAATTGAATTGGGTCCTAAATTAACTAGGGTTTTAAATATGAAAAGTTGTTGGTCGAACCGTTGTTATCGGAGGCTTTATTGTACACATTTTCATTATTAATTGAAGGGGGATGTTTTGTTCATGAATTAAAACATGGAACTTTTTTTAATTACTTAAAATTTTCATAAATCAAAACTTAAAAAATCAGTAACTACAGTACCTGCAAGTGTCCACCCAACCTGTACACACGCTCACTATGATATGCCTGGCATGATTCTAAGGCCCATCTGCCATTTTGGATTACATTCAGTTTCCCAGCTAACTATGTATGAACTTAAGGGAGGAGGAGGGTATCTGAGCCACTTAGCTACACACTTTGTTAAGAAATATGACTTCAAGATCAAACCATTTCTAGTTTGTCTTTTGCCAAGTGGCTCGTTACAACAGCTGACCCAAAGAGTTGGTGGAGGGGATATTACAAAAGCTCAAGAACTAAGCAGACAATAATCCCCAGGAGAGCTACCCCAATGACAACCAAACACTAACAACTCTCCATTACTGTATAGTTCATCAGTGATATCCTCAAACCTCTAGGAATGTAAGCAATCACTGGTACTGAATTCCAAACCCCCAAAAAATGGGTATCATACATTCTCTCTAAGATGGGTCATATCTCCAAGGTTCCTTGAAGCAGTACTATGCATATCATGATATAAATGCAAACAAAGGGAAAAAAAGGGCACCCTGAACATCCTAGAGAAATGAAGCCTCATTCCATAGCAGGTGGCGAAGCAGAGCAAGAGAACAGTCAACACCGGGGGTTCCCAAACCCGGGTTTGCAAGTTTCACCATAGAGGGTCACACAACAGCTCATGGGGTTACCTGGACCTCTGCAATGGTCACAAGTAATTTTTCTTAGGTTCAGATGTCAAGGGAGAACAGAGAGTAGCAGCTGATGTCCTTAAGTTTGGACCATAAATTATGGTCAGGGGATTAAAGTGGACACTCTTCTTAGGTCAGGTCGTGGTAAACCAGGGGTGGGTCATATGAAATCTGAATAGGCAGTGGATTTACATCAGGTACATGAAGTAAGGTTATTCTGACCCCAAACTTGACCTGATGACAAATTAATGCTCTTTAATAGATCAAGGTGAGGCACTTTTGCTCTTGAAATGGCATTATTTCAGGCACTCACTGATACTGGTGCTAATGATAACCCCTTCTAGCATACCAAGTTTAATATCAGTACAGGCTGAGTATCCCTTATCCGAAATTCCTAAAACTGCTATGCTCTGAAATCCAAAAGTTTTTTTGCGCAATACCCCAGTTTAGGATAATTTAAGACCTTCAGGGTGAAATTTAGTGTACAGTAAGCAAAAATTGACAAAATCTTGGGAAATCAAGGATTTCTTGGGGTATTTTACATCATATTTTAAGGTAATAACTTTGTACTGTAGTACAGGTAGTAACCAAATGTTAAAGTAATTTGCCGTTAGACTGACTTGCCGTTTCTTAATTTCTTGCAACAATTCTGCTTTTATACAACCTAGGTAAGGCTCCCATTAATACAAAACAGTTTATCTTTTCTTTTATTAAGTTACTAGGCAGTGCTCTTGCTTTTAAGGAAATGTCCTTAGACTGGTATTTGTGATACAGTACAGTACTGTACTTTAAAAGTACACTTTACCCCTGTTAATTTTGACAAAAAAAGGGGGCTCTAGGTCACTCAAATTACTAAAAAATCAGGTGCATGAGATAGTGAGTGCTGGCAACAATGTTAGGGACAGCAGGACTGATCAGCTGTTACTGCTTTGTAAACAAGACTGGCAAAATACTATGGAGCAATAGTAGATATGGGATTGAGTGGGATTTTGAGGAAATTTAGTTATTTTTCAACAAGGTTTTATTAACCCGGACCAAATGAACCTAAATAATATGGGAATTACGGTGAAATTGTATGCTGTCTCTATAAAGGGCCTGTGGGCTCTCCCTAAGCCTTACATAAAATTATGATAATAATATTTTAGATAATTTTTAGGGTGTTTCAGCAATAAACTCTGAATAAGTATGTATGTGTAATGACTAAATGTAAGACACAGGATGCTCAACACCTTAGAGTCAGGTTTCATGGGGATGCCAAACAGACAGAAGTGAGTGCTACCTTTTTTATTCTTCAGTGTATATCTCATCAGGAATTTCACACACAAAATTATTTCAAATATTTCATAACTAACCTGCAGGCAATATGCATCCCTATGATGTAAATGAAATACAGTACTGTACACTGAAAATTAATTTCGTGCATAGACTTGGGTCCCATCCTCACTGAGTGAGTTACTGCAGTATACAGGTATACAGAATACTGTATAGATATTCCAAAATTCCCCAAATCTAAGACCCCTTCAGCCCCAAGCATTTTGGATAAGGGATACACAACCTGTATTACATTAACCAGTAGACCCCCAACAACCATTCCTGACATGCCAAAAGGGTCCAAAAACATTATGCCTTTGTCAGAAATCCAGCCAATCCGGGGAGGACAGTATCTGATAGCTTTCAGTGGTTGTAAGTGAAGGACAATGGATTAAAAGCAGCCAGTGGATTCATGAGGGATGGAGTCCTGTAGCTGGCCAGGTATGTGTATCAACTTGGTGGACATGTGCTCCAATCAAATCTCCTGCTCCTAGAGGGAACCTTTGTATCGCCCTCACTGATGGACAATGAATGCTACATCAGCTGTC